TGATTAACCATCGAACCAACATGACAATGAATTGGCCAAGTCCAATGCAATCGCAGAAAACATTGACCTTAGATTTGCTATTGCCAATCTCAATTCGAATTGATTTAAATGACGATTAAGTATCAAAATTGTCGATCTCGTAGCCGATCGTGTATCAACCCGGACAAAATGGGGTGTCTATACGAACAATTGTTGTTAGTGGATGCAAAGATGACTTGGCTTCTAAGAGATTACAGTAGTAGGATTTGGTGAGTCGAGGTTGAATGTTGCTATTTGAAAAAAATGAAGGTTTAGGGTTTGAGAGGAGTATAAGGTGTAAGAGTCAGAAGGGATGCTTTCCTTTTTCGGAACTTGCAGGTTGTGACAATAAATCTAGTTTACAAAATGTAAAATGTTTAACTACTAGAATGAATCGACCGAATCATTTCATTATCCGACAATGTCTTTGTAGTATAATATTTCTAACAGTTTATAATTAATTAACCACACGTTTATACTATTTTGATAGTTATAATTATTTAAAACAAGCCCACGATAAAATATTTTTACACAAAAAACTAGTCAGAGATAAATTGTGGATACAATCATATACCTAATTAACAACATAAAAAATTTCTCTTATTGACTCTTACCTATTAAGACGTCTAATTACTTTTTTCAGTAATTTTATAATTACATTTACCTAATTAACAACATAAAAAAAATTCCTTTCTTAAAACATTATCTTTATTCTAAAATTTTCCTTCATTATCAACATATAATTAACAACCGAGACAAATTTCCTTAATTACCCACGTTCAATAGAATTTATTAATTATTAAATTATTTATTACAATAATTTGTTTCAACTTTGCAGTTACCAAATTATTAAATTAATTAATATAGTCATCGGCGGTGGCCGTCCGAAGCATGATTTTTTGACGCGGGCTATCTGTATGAAGTCGGAATTCGGACGCGGATTACCTTTCTGAAGCCTGATTTCGGACGCAATCGACTTGTTCGAAGCCGAATTTCGGCCCGCGCGTCTCCGTTCGAACTTCGACGTCGGACCACGAGTCTCCTTCCGAACGTCGGTGTCGTACCGATGCTGCCGACTGAACTCCGAGGTCGATGGCGAATCAAACGCGCTCTCCCCAGGCGAGTTCCTTGCCGCAGAAGAAAGAGGAGGATGGCGATTCGTCGCGGGGATTTGCGGGAAAAAAGAGGAAGCCGAATCATCGTCGGGATTTGCGAGATTTGTTGGAGAGAACAGTGCGAGACCGGATTTTTTGCGGAAGACGGCGGAATGGTTTTGGCGAGACCCGTCGGTGAGTGTCTATCTTCAAAGCAGTGGCAGAAAAACTCGACCGACAGTTCCAGTCCACAACGGCGGAGAGGATGTGACTGGTTCAACTTTGGTTTCTAAAAGTTAAAGGGCAAATTGGACATTTTTTTCAAAATTATGGGCGACAAATAGTAAATATGCGGGTGGTAAATAGCTTTTCAGTTATATAAAGGTGCACATTGTATTGTACTTACGGATATAGAACTTTTCTATCTATATATGTCTATATTGTACTGATTTGACTGGCAGTTTTATGGGCCGATAACCGATACGTTGTCCTCAAACCTAAATCCCTCATCCTGAGATGGGGGAACTTACTGCACAACCATAAGCATCCCAACTGTACATGGGCGTTGGGTCGTGCTTGGGCCGGCACGGCACGAGCACTCATCCGACCTGTTTATTTCGTGTCGTGCTCGGCATGCCTGTAGTTTTCGTGTCGTGCCGTGCAGCTCATTTGTTAATTTGGCTAGGCTCAGGCACGGTTTGAATTGTGTCGTGCTTATTCGTGTTCGTGCCGTGCTTATATTTGTGTTTAATGGAAAGGAAGAAAATAAAAGAGGAAATAAAAAAGAAGAAACAAATTGGATGTATAATGAAAGAATTAACCGAAAATGTAACAAATGTAACAAATAAGGGGGAAAAGAAAATTGAAAGTATAGCGGGTGTTTGACTTTCTTTAATACTTCGTCTATTTTTACTTATGATAGTAATTACGTATATATATTTATGATCACTTCTAATGTAGTCAAAAGTGAGTTTCTACGTAGAAACGTTTTGGTGATCTAGAAGCGTAAAATCGTAAGTTTTTAAGTTTAAAGCAGAGTTTTTAACTACACAAGTTATAAAAACTTTGATTTTGTGTAGAAGCGTTTTAGTGACCTGAAAACGTAAAATCGTAATATTTTAAGTTTTAAAGCGCGAGTTTAACTAAATTGTCTAACTAACAACAGTAAATAATTTAAATTATACTTGTATTTTTTAAGATTTGGACCTAGAATCCTTTTTATATTTCTTTTCGATCAAATAAATATCCTTTTCATGCCATGTTCGTTCTTATTTATTTTCGATCAAATAAATATTCTTTTCATGCCATGTTCGTTCTTATACTAAAAAGGGTCTCGAAAATATTAGGCCCAACCCGGCCTATTTACATACCGTGTCGTGCCCGTGCCCGTGCCCATGAAGTTTAGGCTCGGCACAACCCACAAAATTTTCGTGCTTGTGCTGAGACTGGCCGTATATTTCGTGTCCGTGCTCATGCCGTGCGCTAACCGTGCTGTGCCGTGCTAGTCCGTGGACGGCCCGGCTAATTGACCATGTAAATCCACCGCCGAAATCTGGGTTTGGTGGTTGAGGGATTTAGGTCCGGGGGTTATTGGTTCGTGGTCGAATTTTGAATTGATCCTGTACAGGGTTTTGTGATGAAGTCGATTGGGATGCTAGCAAGACAAGTAGGGATGACAATTTTCCCCACACCCATTGGTTTTTTACTATCCAACCCAATTGGGTTGAGTATGAAATCCAAATAGATGGATATGGGTAGACTTTGATGGGTTTGTACCCATACCCATTTAATTGGGTTGGGTTGGGTTGGGTTTATAACAAATGGATTTGGGTTTGCACCCCGCCCAAATACAAATTACAGTTTGGTACCTAAACGTAATAGATATGCATATTTAGTAGCTAAATTAAAATTTTTTGCATATAAGTCCTCAAAATATCGATGGAAAATTACATTTTGGTACCTAAATATTTTTGGTCTTACATTTTGGTACATAAACTTTTTAAGTTTTACAAATAAGTCCAATTTTTGCATGTGTAGTTAAAACACTCTCAAATAAATGAATATCCATATCCAAACCATACTAGCGTGGTCCCGACCATTTGGCCGGAGGAAGGTGAGGTATGAAATTTGATAATGTAATAGGCTGTATAGCTTATTGTTGTATAGTTTTTTTTTACAAACACGTGATAAAAATAGTAAATTTTAGTAGGAAAGAGACATGAATGATGCAACAAATCAAAAATCAGCCTTATGAACCAAAATCAAGTATATGTTACCTTGTGAAACAATATTGTTTCTCGTAGTATGATGAGGTGGAGTAAGTTTAATAGAAACCGAATTCCAGAAAATTGAATAAAAAATCGTCTATCCCGCCGGTTTTCGGGAAATGAGCATCTCACAAAATTAGACTTGATCAAAACGGGCCAAAACTTGAAATTCAGCATGTTTGACCGACCCATGTGATTATAAATTAAACTTTCTATTTGAAAATAAAAAATAATGAAAGAAAAGAGATGACTGCAATTCGCCATTTGCACATCACTAATTCGGGAATAAAACTATAGAATTTCGAAAGGAAATTGAAAAAAGTTTAGGATCATTTTAATGTTAAAAATAACCAAATAGATCTTTCTGTTTAGTTTTTTACTAACAAATACCAAACGATTCCCTATAATATACACTATAATTTAATCATTATGATATCAAACAATTACATAATATATATTTGAAATGATAAAAATTGGACTAATTGGGTTGGTTGAGGTTGAACCATTGAATAACTTTAAAATACATTATATTTTAGCCACTAAGATATAAAATAATAGCATAATATATATTATGCTAGAGAAAATAGCTTGTTTTAGAATGGCAAACCCATGATGTTCATTTGTTTTATTTGATGGGAAAATCCCGTGTAGGTCAGGCTCATTCAACTCTTTTATTTTACGATTAGCGGTTAGCCCATTAGAATCCATGCATTAGTTTATTGTTAAATTTTTTCTTTTTAGCAATAAAAATGAGTATTGTTTTTGCCTTTTCATATATATTTTACCACCACAGAGAAATAAAAGGACTTAAAGAAAAAAAATTGACACTCCTGGACCCGTTTAAATCCGCATGTGTACGGTAAGTTAGCCCGTTCCACAGAGGAAAAAGAAAAAAATTGACACTCCATATTCTACCCTTCCTACAAACGCTCCTGGAGCATGGAATTTGAAATGAGGAAAATGTTTTTTCCTCTCTGCAATTATATGTTTTTAATTTAAAAAGAAACAACACATGTACTTAGTGTGATTGGTTATGATCCTTACTTTTCTTTAAAGTGGCCATGGTTCGAATCCTAGTAAGTGTCTTTTTAATGAATAAAAAAATGTAATTGTGAAGACCAAAATGTCCTTCCTACTTTCACTCTGGATGCAGGAAATTTGAAATGGGGCTTCAAGTTTTCTCATTTGGCTTTTATTTATTGTGTAGACTCACTTAGATTATGGAAGCAATACTCATACCTTACCTAAACCCATTTACAAACCCCCAAACTCATATGCACTTCACCCATCCCAACCCATTATTAATGAATCTACTTGGATTTGGGTATAATTAACCATGAGTAATTGCCATCGGAGAGACAAGTTTTGGTGGAGAGTGGAGACACAATTGGTTAGGCAGAGTGATCATTTTGTTGCAAGTGGAAGAATAATGGTTATTAATTTTGTGTGTGCAAAGTGTAAGGACCATTTTATTAAATCCGCCAAATTTTAGTGACCCTTTAGGCTCTTAAAGATTGCTGTTGCAGCTTGCCGCGCTGAGTCCATGACCACAACAAAATGAATTGAAACAATCTCTCCCCTTTCTTTTGATATTTCTGAAACAATCGCCCGAAAGGGAAGGATGACGCTGTACATGCCTTTGTTCAGAGCAAGTACGAACTTGAGACTGCTTACTCAACTTCACTCCCACCTCTTCATCACCGGCATGCACCATGATCCGCAAGCTTCCACCAAGCTCATCGAGTCATATTCTCAACTGGGTTCCCTTCATTCCTCGAGCCTCGTGTTCAGGACCTTCCAAAGTCCCGATTCCTTCATGTGGGGCGTGCTCATCAAGTGCCATGTCTGGTCGCAACGTTTCGGGGACGCCATTTCTCTTTATCATGAGATGCTCTGCTCCGGAACCTCCAATGGCCCATTCATACTCCCTTCAGTTTTGACAGCTTGTGCTGGTTTTGGCGACCTGGGTGTCGGTGACAAGGTTCATGGAAGTATAATCAAGTTTGGGTTTGATACTGATCCCGTTGTAGAGACCTCGCTCCTGGCTTTTTATGGCCAGTTAGGTTGCCTGAAGGATGCAAGGAAGGTGTTCGACAATATGCCTCTGAAAGACTTGGTTTCTTGGAGTTGCATTATTTCAAGCCATGTTGATACTGGGCACCCCGCTGAAGGCTTGGAGATGTTTAAACTACTTTCATCTCGTGGCATTGAAGTTGATGCAGTGATGATGCTCACCGTTGCCCAGGCATGCGGGCAACTTGGTAGTCTGAAACTAGCTAGATCTGTTCATGGTCACGTAGTAAGAAGGAGAGTACAGGCTTCTGGGTCATTAGGCGATTGTCTTGTTCTAATGTACAGCAAGTGTGGAGATATGTTCAGTGCAGAGAGTATCTTCAGAAGTAAAGCTAATAACAGCATAATATCAAGGACCGCATTGATTCATTGCTACAATCATTGGGGTGGGTTTGAACAAGCTGTTGAAATCTTCCTTGAGACAATGAGGGACAAAATGGAGCCTAATGTAGTTACCATAATGGGAGTTTTGAATTCCTGTGGTGGATTACATTTACTTAGAGAAGGGAAATCAGTTCACTGTTATGCAATCAAGAACAGTTTGAACTTTGAGGAGGAAAACAGTTTAGGACCAGCATTAGTAGGGTTTTACTCCGAATGCAATCAATTAACTTACAGTAGGCGAGTCCTTCATGGGTTTGGATGGAGGAACTTAATTTCATGGAATGTGCTTATATCAGCTTATGTTCAACAAGGATTCTCAAATGAAGCATTTGAGCTGATGATGCAGATGCAGAGGCAGGGAGGATTAATGCCAGACTCTTTCAGCTTGTCGAGCTCTCTATCAGCTTGTGCCGACTCCGGGAATTTGCAGCTCGGATGTCAGATGCATGGTTACTGCATCAAAAGACAATTGTCTGATGAGTTTATCCAAAATGCACTCGTCGACATGTACTCAAAATGCGGTTCTATGGATTCAGCATTTCTCATATTCGACGCTGTCCAAGAAAAGAGCGTTATTACTTGGAATTCTATGATCACTGGATTCTCCCAGAATGGCAACTCGGTTGAGGCGATACGCCTCTTTGATCATATGTATAGGAACTGTCTTGAGATGAATGAGGTCACCTTCTTAACTGCAATCCAGGCTTGCTCCAACATGGGACACCTTGACAAAGGGAAATGGCTTCACCAGAAACTCATCAGCTATGGGGTAGAGAAGGACCTTTACCTTGAGACTGCTCTAGCTGACATGTATGCAAAATGTGGAGACCTTCGAACAGCAAAAAGAGTATTTAACAAAATGCCGGAGAAAAGTGTGGTAACATGGAGCATCATGATTGCTGGATATGGAATCCATGGCCATATGGATGCCGCAATGTCGCTCTTCGATCGAATGGTAGAGATGGGAATAAGGCCAAATGGTATCACCTTCATGAACATTCTATCTGCTTGCAGTCATTCTGGACATGTGGATGCGGGGAAGTTTTATTTCAGATTGATGGAAAATTACAGCATAGAGCCCAATTTAGAGCATTTCGCTTGTCTGGTTGACCTCCTGAGTCGAGCTGGTGATGTCGATGGAGCTTATGGAGTTATCAACTCCATGCCGTTCCCTGCAGATGCAAGTATCTGGGGCGCTTTAGTTAACGGCTGCAGGATTCATCATAGGATGGACATAATTCAGTTCATTCAAAGGGACCTTCTGGATGTGACTACAGATGACACGGGTTATTACACTTTGCTATCTAATATTTATGCAGAGGAAGGGAAATGGGTGGAGTTTGGGACGGTGAGGTCGAAGATGGAAAGAACGGGTCTGAAGAAGGTACCCGGTTACAGCACGATTGAACTTGGCAACAAAATATACAGATTCGGAGCAGGAGACACGTATCATTGGCGATTTAACGAGGTCTGCAGCTTTTTAGAGAACTTCCCGAGCTTGGCACGGCCTCAGCAAGGATGCAGTGTGTTTGCAAATCCTTCAAATGAATCTTTTATATTTCCTGAATACCATGAATGATAGTAAACTAAATTGCTAGAAATTGGATATGGAACAATGCGAGGTCGCTTAAGAACAGGACATGGGTAATTGAATGGACATTGCAACATTGTTCAAAAAAGAAATGCTAACTATACTCTTCGACACTATATACAATGATGTATAATCCATCCATAGCTAATAGAGAGAGAGCACTCTGTTGTTGGGATATCCCTCTTTCATTTCATGCTCCTGGGCATGGAGGAAGGTGCTAAAGGCCAGGCGCTTTGCAGAGGGACACCTCACTGTTGTGTATATTGGGATGATGGGCTTATGAGCAAATTTTCTGTAAAGAAGGTTTGGGAAACAATCAGAGCGAGGTATGAGAAAGTTCAGTGGCACAAACTTATCTGGAAGTCCTATTGCATTCCTAGGGATAAGATGATTGCTTGGCTAATAGTTCTCAACAGGATTACAATCCTAGATAAAGTCCAAATATGGAATCCCTCAGCGGCAAACACTTGTTCTCTCTGTTCCTCTGCTGTAGAGTCTAGGAGCCATTTGCTCTTCGAATGTACTTTCTCCAAGAACATTATTCAAGCTGTGTTTCAGTCACAACTTCTAATAGGATGTAGTTGGGAGGCTTCTTTGGAGTTCACTATTGCACAATTCCGGGTCAGCAATCCAGCATCTGATCGTGGGAGGCTCCTTTGGATTGAGGATAGCATCCGATGGGCATTCGATGGGCCTCGTGGTTGAGTGGGCTTTGTTATTAGGGATTTATTGTTAGTTAATTGTTGGATTATTTGAGATATTTGTATTTGTTATTGTGTCTTGTTGGGGAAGTTATAATTTACTTGTTGGGTTAGGATTAGTTACCTTGTTCTAGAGGGAAAGGGTTATGAGAGTAGTATATAAACATGTACAATGTTCTTTGATTTTATGAAGTCGATCAATAAAATATTAGTAGTTATTAGAGAAAAGTAGCTCTTTTATCGTGTTTTCTAGTTCTTTCGCTAAATCGCTCGAGATCACTGGTGTGTGAAATCCCATCACGCATCAATTGGTATCAGAGCCTGGTTTCGAGGAACCGAGCTCGACGATGCTCGCGTAAAGGGCATGCTTTCCGCAAATCAATGGGAGATCTTCTATCATCCGGAAGCAACTGGACGAACGCAGAAGGTTGTCGAGGGATGAAGCTTTGCAGCTAGTCGATGGAGAACCATCGATCGAGATTGACGAGCCACCGGATATACCTCCTAGTCCGGACGATGTAGAGATCTCCTTGTGCGCTCTCACCGGCGTTTCCCAGCCCACGATCATCCGCTTCGACACCACCATCCATCACGAACCAGCAGCCGCCCTCGTTGATAGTGCGTCCTCGCACAATTTTGTGAGCCGCGAAGCTTCCAGGAAGATGTTTGTACGAGCTACTGCGATCCCGCCATTCGAAGTTAAGGTAACTGATGGAAATTTCTTGTTGTGCGAACGATGCTACGAAGCGGTACAAATTGAGATACAGGGGGTACAGCTTCGAGTCGATTTGTATGAGCTACCACGATGTGGGATTGACGTCAATCTCGGTGGTCAATGGCTTAAGCAAGCAAGTCCTATATCTTTTGATTGGAGGAACGCGACCATGCATTTCAAAGATAAGGGCTCGTGGGTCACGTTGCAAGGAGCTATTAATCCCGACGACGAGGGTACAGCTGCCGACAGGAGTTTGCGCGATAATGACGCCAAACTGCGAAAGACTGGATGCCGCAATCGAGGGGGTCAGCCGAGTCTTCAAGCGCGAGATTCATGGGAGTCAATGCTAAAGAGATGTTGGGCCTGGCCTGATGACATCTTCAAATGACCACGTGAGCCCACTCAAGCGCATAAGCCAAACGATGTCGTCAAAGCCATGGAGAGGGCGTTCTCACCTTCATCCCTCCAGGATAATCGAAGAAAACACAAGAAGGGAACTCCCTCGACTTTCCAGGTCTCGATGTTCGACAACAAAGGCTCCAAACGGTAACACCATTGATGAAGGAAGAGGCAAACTGAAGGAAGAAGATCTATTTAAGGAGCGGTGCATGTAGAAGATGGGTAACGGTTTCCTCAGGCTTAGTTAGAACAGGTCTGTTCTCTGGAAGCCTTTGGTCTGGGTTCGGTTGTTTAGTGTCTGGATAGCTGAGTTGGAGCTGTAGCTAGGAACTCAGTCTATCTGGGCATGGCTGATTCTTCTTCTTGCTCTCTTACTTATTAGTCTCTGTATCGACTCCTGTATTGGTTTCATCCAATTGATTGAGTCCGATTCAGTTTCTTTTGAATTTCGAACAAATTGAATAAACCCTAGGTGTTCCCCTTTTCGTCTCTGTGTGTTCTTAGAAAATGAATTGAAGGGCATAGCGATATAACAATTGGTATCAGAGCCTCCTTCTCAAGAGAACTCAAAGTTGCTGAGAAGGAGATCCTCTGTTCACTATGACTTCAACTTCATTCCCTAATAGCTCTAATCCTCCTTGGTTTTCTGGAACAAATTACTCTGTTTGGAAAAAGAGAATGAGACTGTTCCTCCGAGGAATCGATTGCGAGTTATGGGCAATTGTCCGAAATGGACCAATTGACATGAAAGAAGATGATGAGGAGGAATGGTCAAATGCACAGAAAAAAGTGCTCAATTAGACTCTAGGGCCATGCATATTTTACTTTCTGCCATCTCTGATGATGAAGGGGAAAGAGTTAACAAATGTGAATCTGCAAAAGAAATATGGTCAATCCTAGAAACTACTCATGAAGGTACATCAGAGGTAAAAGAAACTAGAATTGATTTACTAATAAAGGAATATGAAACCTTTGACATGTTGCCTGGAGAATCAATCTCAGAAATGGATAAAAGATTCTCCACTTTAATCAATAGACTCAAAGGTCTAGGCAAAGAATTCTCGAGTAAAGAACTGGTTAGAAAAGTACTCAGGTCACTTCCTCTTGAATGGATGGCTAAAAGAACTGCCATAGAGGAAGCCAAGGACCTCAATGTACTGTCTCTTGAGAACCTTATTGGATCTCTCCTTAGTCATGAAGAAGTTCTGAAGCAAATGAACTCTCTTCATGACAAGAAGAATAAGTCGATTGCTTTCAATACTGTTTGCTCAGAACAAGATGAAAGATTAGATGATGAATTTGAAAATGAACTAGCATTAACTAGCAAAAAGCTGCAGAGAATGATGAAATTTAAGCATGACCAAAACTTTAGAAAGAACAACTATAATAATAGATCCTACCCTGGATCTTCTGGGAACAGAAATAATCATCAAGCTAGACCCTCTGGACCTAACTCTGGTGGATCAAATGACAGTAATTCCTTTGGATCCACCAGGTCAGAATCAAGTCCTAAAGACCACAAAAATCCTAGTAATAAAGCTGACTCAACCATCTGTTTTAAATGTGGAAAAACAGGACATGTGAGAGCCAATTGTCCTCTCAACAAGAAGAAAGAAAAGGCAATGACTGCCTCCTGGAGCGACTACAGCTCAGAGGAAGAATCAGAAGTGGTTGCCTACATGGGGTTAGAGTCCAACTTGGAAAATGAACCTGAAGAAAGCCAGGTAAGCTCTGAATCCTTATCTGAAAACATGTCTGATTTCCATGGTGAAGACTTCTTCCTTCATGCTTTGTCTAATCTTCAAAACGAATGCAATCTACTTAAGAGTAAATACTGCCTGACTGTGGCACAGCTTCATGAAAAGGAAAAAGAAAATTTGGCCCTGAAAGAACTGCTGAAATCACAACAGGAAGCAATTAGCTTCCAGAACAATCAAGTGTGCAGTCTATCTTCTGAAAACTTGAAATTAAAAAGGGAAATAAACCACTGTCACAGAGTCTTCAATAGAATCCCACCTCACAGAACTGTTGAACCTAATCAACGCTTTGAATCTCAATACTCAATATGTCGTGTCAGTCAATGGAAAAGATTCCCTTACTGCTCATATTGTTGCAAATCAGGTCATAGTTATGAGAAGTGCTATTTCAAAAGAAATAAACCCAAACTCGTTTGGGTAGTTAAAAACTCTAACTAAAATTCTTTTATTTCAGAATAAGATGGGAGCTAATATCTGGTATCTAGACTCAGGATGCTCTCATCACATGACTGGCAATAAGGAACTGTTCTCTTATCTTAATCCTAAAAAGGGAGGTAAAGTGTTTTATGGAAATAATAACTGTGCCTCTGTTATAGGCAAAGGCACTATAAGCAGTAATCCATCACTAATAATTGAAGATGTTCTTTTTGTGGAAGGTCTGAAACATAACCTTCTTTCAATCAGTCAAATCTGTGGATCAACCTATCGAGTCATATTTGACCCTTTCTGCTGCACAATTGAAAGAATCTCTGATAACTCAGTAATTTTTAAAGGTAAAAAGGTCAACAATGTTTACACGGTTGATCTTGCTACCCTTGACCTGTCTGAAAATGTCTGTTTAAGTACCATATCTGACTCTACTGTTAGCTGGCACAGAAAGCTTGGTCACTCTAGTATATCAAGACTAGCTAAACTATCTAAATTAAATTTAGTCAGAGGCTTGCCTGTCATTAAATCAACTGATAGCTTTACCTGTGAAGCCTGCATTCTTGGAAAACAGTGTAAGAAGTCATTTAAGAGCAAACCCAATATTACCTCAAAAGCTGTGTTTGAATTACTGCACATGGATCTATTTGGTCCCACCAATGTGCAAAGCCTTGGTGGAAAATCCTATGTTCTTGTTATTGTTGATGACTTTTCCAGATTTACCTGGGTGCACTTTTTAGCTTCTAAGGATGAAGCCTTTCCCAAATTCAAAGCCTTCATAAAACTTATACTTAATCAATATGAAACTCGTGTGAAATCAATTAGAAGTGACAATGGAGGTGAATTCATTAATGTTGAATTTAGTACCCTGTGTGATGAATTAGGAATTCTCCACACCTTATCTGCTCCTAGAACCCCCCAGCAAAACGGTGTGGTGGAAAGGAAGAATAGATCTTTAGTTGAGACAGCTAGAACCATGTTACTAGAATTTGATTGTCCTAAATACCTATGGGGAGAAGCTGTTAACACAGCATGCTACATTTTAAATAGGACCACCATTAATAAGACCGAAAACAAAACCCCTTATGAAGTACTAAAGGGCAAACCACCTAAGCTCTCCTACCTGCATCCTTTTGGCACTAAATGTTTCATTCTGAATACAAGAGACACCCTTGGAAAGTTCGACGCTAAGTCTGATATTGGCATCTTTCTTGGGTACTCGTCCAAAGGACAGGCCTATAGGGTATTTAACAAAAGAACCAAAAAGGTTGAGGAGTCTGTGCATGTTCGATTTGACACATCTCTTCACAGTCTCCCCGTGGATTCTGACATCAACAACTATGATTTTCTTCCACTAATCCCCTGTTCTGAGAAAGATAGTGCAGGGATTGATGAAAGTCAAGGTGCAGGGAACTCAGAACCTCCAGCTTCATCGCCTGAATCCAACTCAAAGTCATCAAGTGGATCACTCAGTAAGAATCACGAGGCTCCAGCTCATATCAGAAAGAGACACCCCTCTTCTCAGATTATTGGTAATCTCTCTGATCCCATACACACTCGAGGTAAGTATGTACCAGGTCAGTACTCATTCGTCTCTCTCTTTGAACCTAAGAACTTCAAGGAAGCACTTCTAGATGAGGAATGGCTTCTTGCTATGCAAGAAGAGTTGTCTCACTTCATTAGACTTAAAGTATGGGAGCTAGTACCTAGACCTCTAGGAGTGTCTGTCATAGGAACTAAATGGATATTTAGAAACAAATCCGATGAACTTGGTTTTATAATTAAAAACAAGGCTCGCCTTGTTGCACAAGGATATAGTCAGGAGGAGGGTATAGATTATGATGAGACATTTGCTCCTGTTGCCCGTCTTGAATCCATTAGACTTCTGTGTGCTTATGCAAGTTACATGAAAATCAAATTATTTCAAATGGATGTTAAAAGTGCCTTTTTAAATGGCGAAATAAAAGAAGATGTTTATGTTGAACAGCCTCCTGGGTTCATTGACAGTCAATACCCTAATCATGTTTTCAAATTATCTAAGGCACTGTATGGGCTCAAACAAGCTCCTCGAGCTTGGTTTGAGAAACTGACTTCATTTCTTATTTCTCAAGACTTCTGTCAAGGTGGTGTAGATAAGACCCTATTTATTAAGAGGAAAAATAACAACTCTCTAATAGTACAGGTCTATGTAGATGACATAGTCTTTGGGAGCACTGATCCCAGCATGTGTGAAGAATTCAGCTCTATCATGCAAAATAAGTTTGAAATGAGCTTAATGGGGGAACTCAATTTCTTTTTGGGCCTGCAAATTCATCAATCTGAACTTGGTATTTTCATTCATCAAACCAAGTACCTGCATTCCATGCTCTCTAAATTTGATCTAATAAATGTTAATCCCTGTAAAACTCCTATTGCTTCAAATTCTCACTTAGACTATGATTTGAGTGGAACCTCCGTATGTGAAAAACAATATAGAGGCATGATAGGATCTTTGTTATATCTAACCTCTAGCAGACCTGATATACAATTCAGTGTCTGTCTTTGCGCTAGATTTCAACATCAACCCAAAGAGAGTCATCTAAAAGCTGTTAAAAGAATATTCAGATACTTGAAAGGATCTAGTGATCTAGGGCTATGGTATCCTAGGTCAAACTCTTCTGCCCTTGTGGGATACTCAGACTCTGATTTTGCTGGAAGTATCACTGACAGAAAAAGCACTAGTGGTACTTGCCAATTTTTTGGTAGGTCTCTAGTTTCTTGGTCAAGTAAAAAGCAAAGCTCAGTGGCTCTGTCCACTGCAGAAGCAGAATATGTGGCTGCTGGGTGCTGTTGCACTCAAGTCATGTGGCTAAAATCACAACTAAATGACTATGGTATCACTGCAAACCAAATACCTATTTTTTGTGATAACACAAGCGCCATATGCATGTCTAAAAACCCTGTCTATCATAGTCGCACCAAACACATCGAGGTCAAACATCACTTTATTAGAGATCTCATACAGGCTGGTCACATAGAGTTAAATTTTATTTCAACTGACTTTCAAATTGCTGATATCTTTACCAAAGCACTGTCTTCCGAAAGATTTCTCAAATTATGTGATGATCTAGGGCTTCAATCACTTCACTCCATTCGAGGAAACAATTGAATCAGGTGCTGCTCTTCCTTTATTTAATTCTGCTCTAGTCTATGAATAATTACTGGTCAATTATCCTTACTGTCAATAAGTGCTTGTTCATGCATATGCTGTTTAAGTTATCTATGTTCTGTGATTTTCAAAACTTAACAATGATTCAATTAAGAATTAAGAGTGTCTCTTGCTATTCTCTATCACCTATAAATTGCCTCCTTCTGATCGAACCTCCCCACAAGCCATCAAACCCTCTCGACTCCTTCCTTACAACCATGACAGAACTATTTACCTCATCCAACATCCCTGGAGCCATTGTCACATATGTAGGAAGAACCTTTCATGAGCCCGTTGATTTCAACTTACACCGTTTCAAGGAATTATTTGCATCCCGTCGATTGGCTGATCCCATTACCCTTGATCTCTTTGAGTTCAAATCATATGGAGTTGATATCACTCCTTACATTAGGAACCTAGGGTGGGAATTTCTTATGCATTATCCGCCTTTGCCAGCGTGTCCTCTGCCTGTTCGCATGTTCTATGCGAATTTGGATTGTCAAGGAATCACTACTCGCAAACTCTCTACTCTAGTAAATGGCTATCGGATCTCTCTCACTGCTGATGCCTTAGGCACTCTGCTGAACTTTCCTGTCGGTGAATCTCTTCCCTTGGCACATGAAGACGAGTTCCTCTTTTATGATTTTGATCACGTTATTGAATACTCCCGCATTGCTCAGCGTCCTGTTGCTGCTCATGAAACTGTTACTACTGCTGATCTCAACCCTGCTCTGAGAACACTTCACTACTTCATTACACACCTCTTCCTCCCCCGCTCCAGCTGCCACCACATTGTCACCAAAAAGGATCTTTGGATCCTCTCCAATGCACTCACTGGGCGCAAAATTGACTACTGTCAACTGCTGTTCGGGTCAATTGTTCGAAGTGCAGAGGCTCACTTAGGGGGTAGCCTTCCCTTTGGTGGCCTTATCACTCTTCTAATCTCAAATCTTGGCATTTCTCTTGATGGTTACTCCTCATCCGACACCTCAGTATCCATTCCTGCCATTGCTGTCCTTGCCTACATCAAGGTTGACCCTCTCACTTCGAAAGGGGGAGACACTACCCTTGACCCCGCAGCTAAAAGACCTAAACCATATTCAAAGACATGCTCAAAAACTCTGAATCTTGGAGAATCGTCTTCTTCCGTGTGCAAGAATTTAATCATTGATTTCGAAGAAGAGGAAGCAGTGCTGGAACCTGAAATCCTTTCGGAGAAAGACATCAAGATGTTTGCTGAAGATCTTGAAAAAGAATTGATGGAGGAAGAAGGAGTAAATGCAACTCAGGGGGAGCAAGCTGAAACTGCAAATGCTCAGGAGGACAACAAAACTCAAGGGAAAGCAACAAAGGAATAGTCCGGGACTTGACTCAAAACACCGAGTCTGAATAAAAGAATCTTAAATCCTAGAACTCTGTCATAAAGTAGTAAAAGATCATAATGATCTAGCGGTTGTTTTCTTTTGGATGGTAACCTTGTTTGAAAGACCATAACGGTCTGGCTTTTGTGAAAGACCATAATGGTCTAAGTTTAAGTCTGAATAATCAAAACTGTGTTGACTATTGCTTCATTGGAATTCTGTGTCTCTCATTTTTTATAAGACAGGATGCTTCGATAATGGCTTAACGTCTGCAGGGATCAAGGCTCGAACGCAGGGGGAGATTGTTGGGCCTGGCCTGATGACATCTTCAAATGACCACGTGAGCCCACTCAAGCGCATAAGCCAAACGATGTCGTCAAAGCCATGGAGAGGGCGTTCTCACCTTCATCCCTCCAGCATAATCGAAGAAAACACAAGAAGGGAACTCCCTCGACTTTCCAGGTCTCGATGTTCGACAACAAAGGCTCCAAACGGTAACACCATTGATGAAGGAAGAGGCAAACTGAAGGAAGAAGATCTATTTAAGGAGCGGTGCATGTAGAAGATGGGTAACGGTTTCCTCAGGCTTAGTTAGAACAGGTCTGTTCTCTGGAAGCCTTTGGTCTGGGTTCGGTTGTTTAGTGTCTGGATAGCTGAGTTGGAGCTGTAGCTAGGAACTCAGTCTATCTGGGCATGGCTGATTCTTCTTCTTGCTCTCTTACTTATTAGTCTCTGTATCGACTCCTGTATTGGTTTCATCCAATTGATTGAGTCCGATTCAGTTTCTTTTGAATTTCGAACAAATTGAATAAACCCTAGGTGTTCCCCTTTTCGTCTCTGTGTGTTCTTAGAAAATGAATTGAAGGGCATAGCGATATAACAAGAGAGTCTCCGCTGCCATTGATGTTGTCCTCCCTGCCACCACGTCACCAACATCGAGGGTCATCGCACCACCGCCGCCTGTTGGAACCCTAACCATGGAGGGTATTGCCTTGGGGATGTCCACTATGTTAACGTCCCAAGACCCGACCTCGCCGGCGCCATGCGTAGCCATCCGCCTTAAAGGGGGGAGGCAATTCTATTGGAGGAAGAAAAGGAAGAAACGACGGGATCTTGTTGTCATTGCTGAGGCGCCTTCTGCCGCAGCTGAAGAAGGAGTGATCTCTCCAATAACCGCGCCATCGACGACGAGGTTGCGAGCTGTTGAGGCCGCCATTCCTGTGGTTCAAGAGAGAGGAGGTATTGCCGCTCCTGTTTCACCCAGTCGCATTGTGAAGCCGCACATTGAGGAGAAGCCGCCTTTGCCTCTGAAAGCTGAATCGTGGATTGGACTAGAGAAGCAGCAGCTCCATGGTGATGTCAAGCACGCGGAGTCCACATCCTCTTTTACCAACCATGGAATTGAGGGAAAGTTACGTGGATCACCACTCGACGCCGATAAGTCGTCTACCTCGCTCACTTGTCGTTGGGTCAATTGGAAGTATATGAAGAAGCTCGTGGACGATGGTAAGGGAGACTGGAGTGATGCGGGAATAGGGAATTCGGTTTGCAGTGTAGTCGGACCATCCATGGGACTATTGATCGGTTGTTTGCTGTATGGGGTTGATCCAGAGAATTCCACAGGCCACGTTGACAGCGTGAGGCTGGTTAGTTGTGTTATAGATGCAACCGGGGCTCAAACTAATGGGTTCGGGTGGAATGATCCAGCTACAACGATGGGATCGGTTGGGAGTGATGTAGAGGTTGTGATGCGAGAGCAATGGAAATGGGGCAGGAACCCTGCCGAGTTGATGGCTTGTCATGTGATCGAAGAAGCCTTGTGTGAGGTTGCAAGGACAAAGCCAATTGCATTCGGAAGCTACTCTGTCGCAGTCCGAAGGCCGCTTGATTCCTCCACAATTGGCCTGCATGGAAGCTTGAGGTGGAAGAACAAGGATTGGTGGATAAATAATTTCATGCACGAGGAGGTGCGATTGGGAAAGGGTGAAGGGTATTGGAAGGAGGCGAGTTGGAAAGTGGACATTTCTCCACCACATTGGACGGCTGCTACTGTAGGCAAAGGGGAGCTCGAGTGGGGCGCAAACGAGGATTTGATGGCATTCGGTGATAGGAGCATGGTTCGAGTGGCCGAGCCTAATTGGAAATTTCGTAAGCGAGTTTGGCATCCACAAGAAAATGTTCTCTCCATTATCACCAACACTTGGGAACGGTTTTTCTACATTGATCCGATGGGCATTCGATGGGGCTCGTGGCCGAGTGGGCTTAGTTATTAGGGATTTATTGTTAGTTAATTGTTGGATTATTTGGGATATTCGTATAAGTTATTGTGTCTTGTTGGGGAAATTATTATTTACTTGTTGGGTTAGGTTTAGTTACCTTGTTCGAGAGGGAAAGGGTTATGAGAGTAGTATATAAACATGTACAATGTTCTTTGATTTTATGAATTCGATCAATAAAGTATTAGTAGTTAGTAGAGAAAAGTAGCTCTTTTATCGTGTTTTCTAGTTCTTTCGCTAAATCGCTCGAGATCACCGGTGCGTGAAATCTCGTTACGCATCACAGTGGTAAGTGAGTTATGGAGGGAGAGGTGTAGAAGGATATGTGCTGGTTAATATCTGGTCGAAACTCAGTTCTTGAGGAAGTTGCAGACTCTACTGTCATTACTGATAAATGGATACCCTCATATTGGTGTAGTCATTTCGAGGAAGAGATAAATAGTATAGTTTAAAGAAGTTCTTGTTTTTTTATTAGATGTACAGCTTGTTTCTTTCATAGATAGTGCCTGAAAGAGATCTGTACTTGTTATGGATGTTGGTGATGATTGGTTGCCAGTTAAAATGGTTTCTTATAACCATTATTTCTTACGAATAAACAAGCTTATTCATCGAAAACAAGAGAGAGCAGTTTATATATCTCTCAACATATTAAAGATTTATAATCCATCCATATTGAATAGAGAAAGAGGGCTCTTCCTAAAAAAAGAGAAAGATGGCTTAGTTAATATATCTCTCAACATAGTTAAGCTCAACCTATATTGTAGTATAGAAAATAGATTTATGTCCTATGATTAATAGGTTATGAATATGATTATAGGGTAATTAGGATATTTGGTCACAAAGAATTTAATTTATAACGATAGGGTAACAAAAATTTGAACATGTATGAAATGGTCACTCTGCTTAATTTGTGATTGTTTTGTTGTAAATACAAACTTTTATTATCAAATAGTTACAAATTAAAGATTTGTGATTGTTTTGTACTAAGTACAAAGATTTGTGACCCTTTATGCTAATTACCCTATGATTATATGCTTAAGTCTGTCAGTTATTATTATGATTAACAAGGTATGAAGAAGATGAAAGATTAGAGTTTCATCTTTGAAGACTTTTCTTCTTTCCATTTAGGGGTGGGCAACGGGACAGTCCCGTTTGAAATGAGTACACATTCCCGTTTAAAATGGGTACACAGTCCTATTTGAAGAGTAAAGTTCATCCCATATCCCATATTCGTATGGGTAAACGAGTACCCGTGACCCATACGAGACGAATAACGGATACCCAAACTACCCATAAATACCCAAAAATTGAATTACTAAAATTTTAACAAAAGTTTAAACCTAACATTTATACCTGCGGAACAATCACAAAATTCATCTCAATCACAAATTTTCTGTAAAGAAAATAGAGCATCCCTCTCTAGTCTCTACTCTCTACCCATGGACACGATTGTTGTACAAGAAGAAGTGTACCGTGGGCTTAAAGGCTGGACCTCTACTCTCAATCCAATGGGCTCGTTTCTTTACTTGTCTTTTAATGTCTGTACTGTACAGTCATTAGCATTGGGATTCCCTACAACTTCTAGGCTCTAACCCACGGTTTAAGAATGTTACGTGTATAACGGGTACCCATATTATTCAAACGGAAATTTGTGGGTAACTTGTGGATATCAATATAAAAATTTGCACTTCTAAATTTCATCCGTTAATAATATTACGAGTATTATGGGTACTTATAACTCTCAAAAAATGAAATGGGTATGGATACATCCAAATACCTGTTTCCCGTCGCCCACTCCTATTTTCATCTATAAAGAAGAAGATAACACAGATGAAAAATAAAGAGAAAGGCTTCATTGTTAAGTGTTATTGATGAATGGACCGAGGGTGATGAAGCCCAATGGGCCAGTCAATAACCACTCATCAATTAACTAGAGTTCGGCTCACTCGTTGGCCGGATGAATTACATCAATAATTTAGTAATTATCCGAATCAATTATTTGGAATCATGAAAGAATTCAAATTATTCAATTAAAAAAAACATAAAAAAACATACATTATATACATCATCTTGATCATTCATGCACAAAAGTCCTTATCAAAAGTAAATAACACAACTCATGCAGGTAATGGATTCCTAAAAAAAAACCTAATATTCAAAATGCACTTCAAGTTACTCTTTGATTTTAGAAATCACTACAAATTTCCTTTTGGATTTTTTGTGATTGTTCCGCCATCAAAAGCATCTTCTCCACAAAACTTCATCTTCATTAATGAAACTAGACCTGGCAAATTACAACTCGACCCGTTGACCCGACCCGAAACCGGCCGAAAACTAAAAAATTTTGTAACCCGAAATCCGAATGACCCGAACCCGATAACCCGTAATATTTTGGGTCGGGTTGGGTGGGTTAGCGGGTCGACCCGTTAGACCCGTTCCAGTTAATATATTACTCCCAAAATATGATAAAATCACTCATAAATTGGTGAGATGTTTAAAAAAAATCACAGGATTTGAATGACATGTTTGGAGTTTAAGGATAATAAGATATCATGTGTTTCTTGTAGTAGAATTACTCTTGTGATTGTTTTTTGACGATTTGCGCAATTTATATTTCATTTCATTAGCATGGGAGGATTTGAGAATATGTTAATTGACATGTGTTAGGTAAACTATTGTCATGCATATGTGAAAATTTGTGTTCTTTAAGAAAATATGAAGCATGTTTGATATTATTTCTGAGAACGCTCATAACCCAAAATGACCTGTAACCCGACCCGAAACCGAATGGGTTGGGTCAAACATTTAATAATATAATAAAATTAAAATAAATAAAAAACTAAACCTATACAGATACAGACACGCACAACCTCCGCTAAAATACAAAAATCTATCTCTTTTACTAAAATTAATAATATAATAATTTGTTTTAAAAAATTGACCAGCATAATTTTTTTCATTTGGTTAATTAATAAAATTTTCTGTTAGAGTTTTTATTAATTAAAGGGCGAAAATGTCCTTCCTAAACACTAATATTCTCATGGAGTTTTTAGAATCAAACATATTTTCATGGATAACCTCTTTATATTAGTGGTAGGAAAGCTAAGTTAGAATTGGTTTTATTAGTTAAACACTAATAATTAGCAAAATCATTCCTACATTCTTTTTTATTAGTCAAGTCTAATGAATTACTAATAATTAGTCAAATGTTAATTTCCAGTTATCAATTTTGTTAGTAAAATTGCTTGACAACATGATACTGACTTGGAAGAGACACATGGAGATCAACATTCCAGAACTTTAGTATTTTAACTAAGAAAAGAGTTACAAAATTATTAACGATAACATACAAATGACTAATATATTTATACATTACAAATGACGGGGCCGCAGGTGCGCTGGTGATGTGAAGTGGGTCTAATTCTCCTTGGACTGAAAATAGTGCCAGATCCGACTGGAGCTTGTATAGAAAGGGGCGGAACAAGGATTATGGTATAGGACGAGTCAGAAAAGGTCCAACAGATCTCAAAGAGATGATGGGTTGCTTCATTATAAAAGGTTTGGGCTTTTGTTGGAATATTTAATTGAATCTCTTTTATATGTTGTGGGCTTAAAAGAGAAGGAAAATGAATTGGTGAGCTTGATGAAGAGCTCCCTAATGAAGCATAAGCCATTAGCAATTGAAGAGGCAACTAAGAAAGTCAATGGACTAACGTCTAGGAAGATCAACTCTAGTATGGAGTTTGAACCTCTTAACCAGAACGGACCCACACAGGTAACCAACACTAGGCTTTTGTATCTTGACGGAT